ACACGATTACAGTGGCGTGTGTGTGTGTGTGTGTGTGTGTGTGTGTGTGTGTGTGTGTCAGGATGTAGGCCAGGACCCAATGGCCAGAGGCTGCTTTCCCCCCTGCTATGCCTCCTCTGGGTCCATCTGTTTCCTGGGCACCTCCACCTGAGTGGGCCTCAGGCCCCTGAAACCATCTGGTCCCTCTTCCCCACCAAGGAGGGTCCCTTTATCCCCTGTCACCCGAGTGGAAACCATGGTCTCATCCTCACCCCCTGCCTCTACATATCTCCTTGATCCTATTCCCTCACTTTCTCTTTGCTGGCCTCACTGCCTCAGCCTCCGGGCCCGTCCCCAAGTTGGCCCTCACAGTGCAGGGCTCTATTGAAACCATGGATGTGACCATGTCTCTTCCAGTTAATCATGGCTTGGCCTCCACCACCCTTTAATTCCTGGCTCTATAAGTCTCTCCAGCATGTCTTGGGCTTACCCCAACACCTTCCTCTCCCCCAAGAAAATAGACTAGCCCCTCCCCCAACACTCCTTGCCTCTTATGCCTCCTCGCCTTTATCCTATAGCTGTTCTGTCCTGGAGAGTCCTCTTTCTCTCCTGACTCCATCTGCCTGGCAAGCTAATCCTTCATGACACCACTAAAGGGCCACCTCCTGCAGGAAGCCCTGTGTCACTGCCTCAGAGCTAGGCTGAGCTGCTGCAGCACTCATCTAGCTGGTAGAGCTGAATCCATCTGCTTTCCTGCACCAGAGCACTCCCCTCCTCACCATCTCTTGCTGGGTGACTGCAGGCCTCCTAGTAGGGCTCCTGCTTCTGCTCCCCCACTCCAGTCTGTTTCCCACCTAGCAGGCAGAGCAATCCTTGGAACATGAAAGTCAAATCATATCCCTCTCTGCTTCAGCCCACCAATGACCCCCATGATTTACATGATCTTCCCCTCCCTACCCTCAGCCCCTAACCCCACCCACCTCCCTGAGCTCAGTTCCTACCCCTCAGCTCATTCGCCTCCTCTCTATTCCTCAACTCTGTTCCTCCTCAGAGACTTTGCACTTGCTGTGCTTGCTCCTTGAAACTCTTCTATTCTCTCTTCAAAGGACTCACTCCGTGGTCTCCCTACTTAAAAGAGGGCTCCTGGTTATTCTACATCATGACACCTCCTTTTTCCTTCAGAACATAAATCAGATTACTCATTTCTTCCCCAGGCTGTACTAGTAAGTTCCATGAAGGCATGAAAAATGTCTGTCTTCTGCCCTAGCCGGTTTGGCTCAGTGGATAGAGCGCTGGCCTGCGGACCAAAGGGTCTCGGGTTCGATTCTGATCAAGGGCACTTACCTTGGTTGCAGGCTCCTCCCCAGCCCTGGCCCTGGTTGGGGCTTGTGCAGGAGGCAACCAGTCAATGTGTTTCTCTCACATTGGTGTTTCTTTCTGTCTTTCCCTCTCTCCTTAAAAGTCAATGGAAAAAAATATTCTTGGGTGAGGATTAAAAAAAAAAGTCTATCTTCTTCCATAGTTAATTCCCAGCACACATAGGGCTAAATAGGTGTTTATGAAATAACCATACTGTGTCTGTCGTGTGTGATTTTTTGTGTACATATTTGTCTGTCCCACTGGTCTGTGGGACCCTCGAGGGGTCCCTACTCGATATCATATTAAGTATCTGTTTGTGATTGTCCGTCTCTCCCCATTAGACTGGAAGCTCCAAGAAGAAGGCAGGAATTTTTGTTTATTGCTGTGTCCTCTGTGCCTAGAACAATGCCTGGCAAATAGCAGATGCTCAATAAATACTTCTTGAATGTTGAAAATGCAGGATGTGACCAGATCATCTCTAACCCAAGCCCAGGGAGCTGTCAGTGAATGAATGGTCTGTGCTAAGAATGCTTGCAGTGGCGATGCCCAGGTTCTCTGTGCTTGGCCAAGGAGTTTATGTGGATCTTATCTGGGTCTCACACAAACCTCCCTTGAGAGCCTCCACCCACAGTAAAGAAGTCTCACCTGGAACTGAGGGCTCACAGCCATCTGGTGGTCACCTGGGGAACTTCAGGTGTTGCCATTCCTGGTCAAATGTCACTTCTGGGGAGATGGTGGCCTAGGCTAGCAAGGGAAGGCACACTGGACTTGGTTACAGACAGCCCTGGCTTCAGACCCCAGCTCTGTCACTTACTTGTGATTTGGGGCAAGACCTTCTGCTTCTATGGGCTTCACCTATGAAATTGGGAGGCAAGGTTGTTGTAAGCACTGGGGTCTGGTTTGGTACCTGGTAGGTGGGAAGGATTGGAGAGGCGTCGATGGTGGGGAGAAGCAAGGAGCTAGAGCTGAGGAGGAGGGAGAAAGAAGGGCTGCCTCTCCGTCCAGACGGCAGATCTTTGGAGAAGAGAGACCTGGTTGGCATTGATGGCCTCTGTTAGCCTGTTGGCATGGTGGCAGTTTTGGAGCATGAAAGGGATTCATTTGAGTCTCTTGGATCTCAGGGTTAGAAATATCACTGCACTCTTATCCTCCCTGACTGCCTGAGGCTCAACCTCTCCCATGAATGACACAGTGACTCCCTGGATCAGGAAGTACTGGCTAATCAACTACATAGTCATTGATGTCCTTCCCCCTGGGGAGGCAGTGGCAGCTAAGACAGAAATTTGGGACAAACGAGCCAGATTTCATCTTATATTTGGATCAGAACCCACTCTGGTGGTGGTAAAACAACTGGCTTTGACATTATTTGTGATTCCTTGAATGTAAAGAAAGATGAACCCAAACACAAGCTTGCAAGACACGACCTACAGAAGAAAAATACCCCAAGGAAACAGCGAATGGAATGCAAGAACAGAATGAAGATCAGGGCTACAGGAAAGGCCAATACTGGTGCAAAAAGAAGGAGTAAAGATTCTGCAATGACTTAATCAGTGGATTGTGCAGATTTTTCACGAGCTAATTAGTAAACTATGAATAAACAACAACAACCACTGCCACTCAGAATAGCAGAAGAGAGTCTATAACACACACCTTTCTTGCCAACCTCCCAGCACCTTTCACCATTCTCTGAGACCAGCTGGACAGCTGTTGGGACCCAGCTCTGATGGGGGAGGAAGTGGAAACCTGAGTCCTGGGGTAGTGATGCCCCTAGTTCTCTCTCTCTGACACCCCACCTTCCTTGACACCGTGGGCATTACTACTCTCTGTTTTTCTTCTCTTTTTCTAGATGTTGCTTTTTAGTTTAATTATCCAGTCAACAAGATATTTGTTGAGCATCGACTACATGCCAGGCACTGTGGGAGAGTGCTAGTCCAGGACAGAGGTCGGGGAGCCTGCTGCGGAAGGAGTGACCTGGGTGCAGAGACCTGAATGAAGTGAAGGGTTCTAGGCAGAGGGAACAGCCAGTGCAAAGGCCCAGGAACAGGAATATGTTCATCCACAGTCTGTGCCCTTAACGGCGGGGTTCCCCGAGGCTCCTCACTCTCTGCTTCCTCCCCTAGGTGGTGTCACCTACCCCTCGACCTCAGTCACTGCCTGCATTCCTCCTGGGAGTCCTCCTGCCAGAGATACCCTTGGTAGCCCACACAGCCAGTGCTGGCAACGTGCCAGGCCCTTCCCAACAATCCTACGAGGTAGATACTAACTTTATCCCTATCTATTGACGAGAAAACAGACAGAAAGAGTCTAAGCAGCTCATCCAAAGTCACACAGCTAGGAAATGGAGGCTTGGGGGCTTGAGTCCAGCCTACCCTCCTGACCACCTCCATCTGCTAAGCACCCTAAACTCACTGTATCCAACCGGAGTGGTTATCTTTCCTAGCCCAGCCCTCTCCTCTTCCCATGTAGCCTGCCACGGGCCTACCCCCTCCTCCCTCCTTTCCCACAGTAACTGTGGGAACTGCAGTGGTGCGGGGTTGTGGGAGAAGTCCAGTGGGGCCTGGGATCTGGG